CTGTAGTATTACTGAAACTGAATTTTATAAAATTCTGCTAGATTGCAATTCTCTGTTGGACATTTTCTACAGGCACGGCGTTTTGAGTTGCCATTTTGGATGTTCCTGCGGGACTGTGTTGGTTTCCAAGAAAACTCCCCGGTGGTTAAAGTTTCGTTGCCAAAAGCGCAACCCCACAGATGGCACATTTTGCACCACCAATTTTGCTATTTTCAAAGGAACTTTTTTTTACCAATCAAATCTGTCTTTGGAGCAAGTGAGCCGGCCTGCTATGTTTTATTTCTGTCGACCTTTCCCTCGATATGCTTTTATTCACACGGAAATGAAGCTAAGTTCCAAAACTATCAGCGACTGGTTTCCTTTTATCAGGGAAAACGGCTAGCTGCAATCAGCACAATCATATGTATGAGCTTATCAGTTTCGTCTACTATCTCCTGTATGGACAAAATTCTGCTAAGTTTTCAACCGGGAATGAATTACTTTTTTATTTTCATTTAAATTTTCTACTTTGGTGGCAGTTCGGCAACATGGCTGATCAGTATGCAATTTTTGGCTGCGCGTACCTTGCGTGCAGGCATGTGCGCGTGCCACAGCAGATCGTACCGTAAAGCATTACCGAAAAAATTATTGATTGCGACTGTTTGTGCAAAGTACAAGCACATTCTGGAAAATAAAAAAAACAGACCACGTTTCAAATGAAGCAGAAACTAAAATTTGGGAGAAAATAGCCACCGAAGTAAATTGCTACCGCAGTAAATGCAACGTACAGAACTTCGGAGGCATTAAAGGTTTTATGAAAACCGAAAAAGGAAGGTGCGGAAAATAGCAGCAGAGGAAAAACATCAGGTTTTTGCAACTGGAGGAGGACCTTGCAAGATTCTAAAAAAAGATGCGTGCCATGACATCATTGTTTCGGTCATGAATCAAAAAACGATTTATGGACTTCAAAATGAGTTTGATGGTGATGTAGAACCAATAATTGAAATAAGTATAATATTTTATTGTAATATTAATACGTAGTTAGAGTAAAGCAAAACTTAGACCACACGTTTTGAAATAAACGAGTTGCGAAAGATACTTGGTACACTGCTTTTTTTTAATAGGACCCGAGTAGAGAAGAAGTTAAGGTTCAAGGTGCAATTGGAAATATTGAAGAAAATGCCCTAGCTAATGATAACATGGATTTGCAAGGTGATATTGTGTATGAATTGAATAATGAACAGTTAATCTTACAATACCATAATATTAAAATTATAACTTAAATGGTTTAAATGTAATGTGAACATAATTTGTTTAAAAAACTTATAG